GAGCCACTTTCAGCAGATTAGGTAATTTACTAGTTCACAATACCAGAAACAGATGGTCTTGGAGAATCAAAAAACACTAGATATCACCAGATTAGCTCAAGATCTGGTAATGTTTAGTATTTGGCTCACATTTTAGAATACCTTTGTTATGTGTTTCAAAAACTCAATAGGAAGTAAGACCGGTGACTTAAAGATGATTCTGCTGCAAATGACACTAACGTTGAGTATAAAAAGGAGCCAGTAAAACTTACAAATTTTACTTTGTAGCTGAGTGCAGTGAGTGGCTCATGCCTATAATCCCAGTACTTTGGGAGGTCACAACCAGAGGATCACTTGAGGCCAGGAGTTTGAGACCAGACTGAGCAACATAGCAAGACCCTCATCTCTACAAAAAATGAAAAAATAAAAATAAACCAGGCATGGTTGTATGTGCTAGTCCCAGTTACTTGGGAGGCTGAGGCAGGAGGATAACTTAAGCCCAGGAATTTGAGGTTGCAGTGAAGTCCAGGCAAAAGAGACCCTATCACAAACTTTTTACACTGGCCTAAACTTTATAGGTGTTGTTGAAATAGGTATTAAGAATATCTCACTTGACAGTAAAGTAGGGAAGTTCATTTTCACAGGTCAATGAGCAGTTGACAACCAAGGCGACAAGCATTTATTAAATGTCTACTAGTCTAGGCCAGGCATGGTCCTGTAATCCTAGCACTCTGGGAAACCATGGTGGGAGAACTGCTTGAGCTCAGGAGTGTGAGACTATCCTGAGCAAGAGTGAGACCTTGTCTCTACTAAAAACAGAAAAATTAGCCAGGCACTGTGAAAAGCACCTGTAATCCCAGCTACTTGGGAGGCTGAGGCAGGAGGATTGTTTGAACCAGAAGTTTGAGGTTGCTCTAGGCTCTAGGCTGATGCCACCACACTCTAGCCCAGGGTAACAGAGTGAGATTCTGCCTCAAAAAAAAAAAAAATGTACAAATGTCTACTAGTCTAAAGACATAGTTTAAGTTTAAGACTAAACATATGTCTTAACTAATATCAACAATTAGAAGTGAGATTTTTGCAGAGGTTATGAACAATGCCATGCTGGCAAAGCCATGTTTGGGTTAAAGAAAAGCAGCTTAATGCACTTTTACAGATGAAAATCTGTTTTTGTGACTATAAAAGTTTCAGAAAACTTAGCTCTAGGAATTAGTAAGGAAAGGAGAAAACGGGTAAAAGTAGTGAGAGGTGAGATTTTATTGGCTGTTCATGATTGAGAAAAATCTAGACTTTGGCAGCTAGACTATTAGCAATTTCTATTACCAATTAGATAAGTGCTGAGTTGGCAGAAAACTGTGACAGTAACTAGAGGAGAAAACCTGCTCTGAAGACACTGGGGTCGGCAGAGGTGGAATCTCAGATTTTTTAAGATTTCTACATGATATTTATAACGAAGATATCACTCATAAATATCAAAAATGTAGAACCACACATTGCTGTTTACTCTCACTTGTTCCTATGAATACAATTTCTCTTAAGAATTATTAACATGTTTGCAACAGGCAGCTAGATCAAAGTGGAATGAAAGTGCAGGAAAATTTAGTTGAAGTTGAAATTGGAACTGCAGAGTACCTCCTACAACCTGTGCAAGGTGAGACAAGAGTCCCACACAATGCCCAGGGCCCTACGTGGCAGCAATGATAGTGAAGAACCAGTGAGATAAGGTGGGACAAGTAACCTAACCCCAAGTTCGGCTCGGCTCAAGAGGCTAAGGCGCCAGCCACATACACCTAAGGTGGCAGGTTCAAATCCCCAGCCCAGGCCCGCCAAACAACAATGATGGCTGCAACCAAAAAAAAAAAAATGGCCAGGCGTTGTGGCGGGCACCTGTGGTCCCAGCTACTTGGGAGGCTGAGGCAGGAGACTCGCTTGAGCCCAGGAGTTGGAGGTTGCTGTGAGTGTGATGCCATGGCACTCTACCCAGGGGGACAGCTTGAGGCTCCATCTCAAAAATAAAAAAAAAAACCCAAGTTCAAAGCAGAATGACTATTCCAGCATAAAGGGTTACTGAGCAACCTCCCTGTATCTTTTCTGAGAATCAGAAGGGAAAGAACCCAACAACTGAGGCTGCACGGATTCAGTGACACTGCCCATATGACTTAACCAGTCTAATGAAAGAGTGATTTAAGTCAAGTTTAATAACAAATCTTAGACAGAAGTGATCCATGCCCTTCAAGTTATATGTTTGTATGTAAGGGGAAAATGGCCACAGAATGTGTCCACTGTGGCATTCTGACTCAACACCTACAACCACATTGTCCATCAGCTGAGAGAGTAAGGCCTACTGTCCCACTGTTTTGATAACATCCTTTCCTCCTCCCATCCAAAGCAGCAAAAACTAAGGTACTATTTAGGCAGCCTAGGCAACAGAACAAGACCTTGTTATAGCCTTACCAGGTTCACTGCCCTCTGCTCAAGAGGAAGCCAATACACTGAGACAGGTGTTAGTTAAGGTTTAGTTTTGTAAGAAATACCGCTTTCCTTTTTTTTAAAGACAGTCTCACTGTCACAGAGTGCCATGTCATCATTTGAGCCCTCAAACTTCTGGTCTCACAGAGATCCTCTTGCCTCTGCCTCCTGAGCAGCGGGGACTATAGGTATGCACCACCATGCCTGGCTAGTTTTTTCCATTTTTATTAGAGACAGGGTCTAACTCTTGCTCAGGATGGTCTCCAACTCCTGAGCTCAAGCAGTGCACCCATCTCAGCCTCCCAGAGTGCTAGGATTAAAGGTGTGAGCCATGGCACCCAGCCACTAAACCTACCCTTAACACATAATCCAAGGATCACTCTCCTTGGTATTTACAAATAAGCTGAAAACAGGTCTATACAAAACCCAGCACACAGAGGTTTAATTGGCAAAAGGTGCAAACAAACAAGAAGTCCTTCAGGGGGGTGCCTGTGGCTCAAGGAGTGGGGCGCTGACCCCGTATACTGGAGGTGGTGGGTTCAAACCTGGCCCTGGCCATAAAAAAGAAGTCATGCAGTAGGTGAATGAAAATATAAACTGTGGTACACCCAGACACTGAATATTACTCAATGCTAAAAAGAACTATCAAGCTGTGAACAGACACAAAGGAAACTTAAATGTATATATTACTAAGTGAAAAAAGCAAATCTAAAAAGATTCTATGATTCTAACTATATGACATTTTGGAGAAGGCAAAACCATAGAAACAATAAAAAGATCAGTTGTGTCAGGAATTAGAGTGTGACAAAGAACAAGTGGAGCACAGAGGATTTATAAGGCTGAGAAACTGTGTGGTATTGGTGGATATGTGTCATTTCATATTGCCCAAACCTATACAATGTGCAACACCACGCGTGAACCCCAATGTAAACTATGGCCTTTGGGTGATAATGATGTGTTAATGTAGGCTCATCAGTTATAACGAATTGATCATTCTGGTGGGAAATGCTGACAGCAGGGCAGGCTGAGTGCTGGGGGGCGAGGGGGAAGGGCACATGAGAACTCCACTTTCTGCTTAGTTTTGCTGCAAACCTAACTAAATCGGCTCTAAAACACGGTCTACTAAAAAATACACAAAACAAAAATAACCATGTAAAAATAAAGGAAAAAAGGTTGCCTGCAGAGCTTAGACACATTGCAGGTGTGGAGGATGAGGGATAAAAAAGAATGGTAAATTAAGGACAGGGGCGTTGTCCCAGACCAATAATGACAAATAACGTATGTCATGAAATGAAGAGTAAATAACCTCAACACGCTTCACTGTCAATCCAAAAGAAAAAGAGATTGTGTATGTGCTTTGTAATACATCATATCAGGCTTAAGAGGTTATGTTGCAGGAAGACGAGGCCCATCAGAGAGAAAGAGCACCCAAACACCACATTTATAAGAGGAAGGGCTTTATTCATGGGCTGGGAGCTTACAGCATAGATTTCCAAATGGCCACGCTCCCTGACTGGCTTGGTCTTTCCCTTTTTATTGATAGTTTAAAAGTTCCACCCCACAAGTACCCGTCTCATTGGCCAGTTTGAATCAAGTGGGAGATGCTAGTCCAGCCCCTACAGAACCAAAGGATTTCACAGAACTTGGAAATTTCCAGGTTCCAGGAAGTTAAGCCTACAAATTCTCAAGAGCTGAGTCACCATGGAGAGGACTCTGCTTGTGCATCCTCCGGTTTCCCTGAGAAGACCTGTTCTCCCAGCCCTCGCCTTTCTCGGGTATCCTCTCTCAGTTATATGTCGCATTTTGACCCAGTAAAGATGGATTCTATCCTCATGTGTTCATATTCTGAACACACTCCTTTGGAGTAAAAAGTAATCATCTCCTAAGTAAGATGAAAACTAGAATCTAAATTGTTTTACATCACACTCCCACGCAAAAATTGTCTTACATTATACCTCTTCATACCTTAGTATTACCTTTTTTTTTTTTTTTTTTTTTTTTTTTTTTTACTGTTATGCCCTTATTTCCTTACCCTTGCTGCCAACTGCTGGCGTTAGGACGCGGTAACTAATTTTACCATTCACATCTAGGAATGGCAGAGCAGCGTGGTGTTCGGACTGTGAGCTTCGCCTATTATTCTTTGATTTCCAGTAATTTACCTTCCAAAGACTGCCAGAGGAAAAGGCTTAAAGTCTCTTCTAACATTTTTCTGGGCTGGAATACCTCATCGCAGCAAAACATAAGAGCAAATTCTAACGGACCACAAGTTTCTAGCAGGATGATTCTATTTGAAGATTAATCATAATTCGTGGACCCTTCAGGAATGTCTAGGAGCTAGGAAACACAGAGCCACTGTCTCCCCAGACTCGAGATCTAGCCTCACCGACAGCTCTGCCCCAGCGGCTCTGGGTACCACCTAACAACCTCGGAAAGAGCTGGGACTGTTCCCATTCGATTGGCCCTGAAGGCCCCGCCTATTCCTCGCCGCAGCACCAGGTGGCGCAGCAGGGCAGCGGGAGACTGCGCGTGCGCGGCGGGCGGGCGGCGCCGGGAGACAGCGTTTCCAGGTTCTTCTGGTTTCCGTGGACGGCATGAAGACCGCCTATGGCGCCAGAGCAACTGGCGACGAGGGGCCGCGGAAGCTAGCTCTCTGCGTCCTCTGTGGCCTACCAGCAGCAGGAAAGTCGACCTTCGCGCGCGCGCTCGGCCACCGTCTGCGGCAGGAACAGGGCTGGGCCGTCGGCGTCGTCGCATATGATGACGTCATGCCCGATGCGTTCCTCGACGAGGCGAGCGCGCGGCCGCCGGTCAGTGCGGAGGGGCGGGGCGTGGGCTGCACGGCGCGGGGCGTGTTCTGTTGTATTTGCTTTGAGCCCGGCTGTGTACTAGACAGCACCGCACGTCAGCGGAGATACCCTGACAGGAGCAGAGACGGGAGTTCGAGAAAAGTGCAGCGGGGTTAATATAGTTATTCCTTGGAGTGAATGAGTTGGCTGTAGACATCTATCTTAAAACATTTACCAAGCAGCCGTTGTAGCGTGATGCATTATAGAGGGTTATATGCACTTTGGTGCATGTATATACCGTGTATTCTGTACAATGGAGTGTTTAGACAAGGCTAAGTGAAAATCTCCTGTGGTCAGATGAAATCTTGAAAATCCCTAAGGAAGTTTCTCATTAGAAGGAAAGATTCTCTAAAAATTCCAACAGAGGCAGTTTAACATTTAGGCACAGCGCATCCAGATTTTGTGGGGCTTAAGTTTATACAATTTGAGAAACCCTCTTTAAGAAAAAGTGTACAAATTATAGGTAACAAAATTGCTTGCGGTTCCTCACAGGACGCTACAAAGAGTCTGAACTAATGAAGGGTCTGGCCTCTGAAGCTTAATCTTCGTTTATTTCAGGGGAAATCTGCTTCTGCCAGCATTGGAAAAGATGGCTATTTCTTAGTTGGACCACAAAAGGAAGAAATAGACTTGTATTCGCACTCAGCACAGTAAGGTGCAATCTCTTAGAGAAGCATGTGAAAGCTGAGACCACTGGGGGAAAGTAGATTGATGTCTGTCATCTAATGCTAAGCAAATACCCTTTGGAATATTCTGAAATGTTAAACTGTTATTTTTGTTGTCTAGTGCTTGAATGTGAATGCATTTACATAATCAAATGCAAATATGATTTGACTCCACTTTATAAGTATATATGCCAAAAAGTGGGTGGAAAATTCCAGGCCTCTCCTGTAGCAAAGTTTATCTACTTTCTTATTCTTTGTTAATTGTGAGGTAAATACAATATCAGGGTAGCACAGGATTTACTTGGATAATAGTACTGTCACCACTTAGGAGAAAGCCAGACGTTGTTGATAAGAGATTGCTATATTTGCAAGCTTTTTCCTTACTTAATTTCTTTTGTCCAGTCTTCCTTTACAAAGGCCCTAGGACCCATCTGTTGAATCTCAGCAGTGAGGTAAGGCGTGGACAAGCAGGAGAGGGACCTCGATCTCTTCCCTTTTGTTTTCCCTTGAGTTTTGACTTCTTAACTATGTAGGAGTTTTCCAGGCAGAAGGAACCAGATATGTTACAGAACAAATAGTTCAGTATTGTGAACTTCAATTTTCATATGTGATGGATGGCACTGAGGCCCAACGAGGCTCTACTGGCCTAATATATATATTGCAATTCTTTGGTCTTTTGTAGCCATTCCAGTGGAAAGTGCTTAGACTGGAACTGTTGAAGTACCTGGAATACTTCTTAATGGCTGTCATTAATGGATGTCAGATGTCTCCCCCACCCAACAGGACTGAAGCCATGTGGGAAGATTTTATAACCTGCTTAAAGGAACAAGATCTGATATTTTCTGCAGAGTCTGAGGCCCAGTCTTCCTACCTCATAATGAAAACTGATGTTTCTAGACCTTTGCTTTTGATTTTAGATGACAACTTTTATTATCAAAGTATGAGATACGAAGTCTACCAGCTGGCTCGGAAATGTAATTAAACATATTTTCCTTACACATAGAGACATACATTCACATATCAAAATCACTATCATCTTCAGTGAGAATGTATTGTAATTGGATTAGGAGGTTAAGGTTGATTAATTTTATTTATTTATTTTTGGAGACATTCTCACTTTGTCACCTTTGGTAGAGTGCTTGGTGTCATAGCTCACGGCAACCTCAAATTCTTGGACTCAAATGATTCTCTCACCTCAGCCTCCCAAGTAGCTGGGACTATAAGCAGCTGGGGCTACAAGTAGCTGGGACTACAGACACCTGCCACAACACCCAGCTAGTTTTAGAAACAGGGGTCTCACTCTTGCTCAGGCTGGTCTGGAACTCCTGAGCTCAGGCAATCCATCCACCTCCCAGAGTGCTAGGATTACAGGCATGAGCCACCATGCCTGATTTACTTAATTTTAAAAGCTGGATATTCGGCCGGGCATGGTGGCTCACACTTGTAATCTAAGCGCTCTGGGAGGCCTAGGTGGGTGGATAGCTTGAGCTCAGGAATTGGAGACCAGCCTGAGCAAGAGTAAACTCCCATCTCTACTAAAAATAGAAAAACTAATTGGGTATAATGGTGCACACCTGTAGTCCCAGCTTCATGGAGGCTGAGGCAAGAGGATGGCTTGAGCCCAGGAGTTTGAAGTTGCTGTGAGCTAGGACGCCATGGCACAACCCAGGGAAACAGAGTCTGACTTTGTTTCAAAATAATAAATAAATAAATAAAAGGTGGATATTTGGTATTGCAAATGAAGTTTTCCTACTGTAATTGGAATGATTTGCATAATAGATATTTTCACATTTTGGAAAATATGAAATTTGCATAATGTATTTTCATATTTTGAAAAATAGTACACCAACAATTTTATGATTTTAAACTATTTTCAGATTCGTTAGGCTTTTGCCAGCTCTTTTTAGATTGTCCTCTGGAGACCTGTTTACAGAGGAATGGCCAGAGACCACGGGCACTGCCTGCAGAGACCATCCACATGATGCAAAGAAAGATAGAAAAGCCCAACCCTGAGAAAAATGCTTGGGAGCACAACAGCCTCACAATTCAGAGTCCAGCATGTGCTTCGGAGGCCAGGTATTGTGCAAACTCTTTACTGGTGTTGGCTTTGTTAGTCCTCACACAGGTCTTGGAAGAAGACAAGGAAACTGAAATGGAAAAGTGTAATTTGTCCGGAATCACCAAATTTGTAACAGATGAGATTTGAACTCAAGTTTGTTTGCAGATGCCTGTGCTTAGCTGTGAGGATTATATTAATACTGCCTCCTACAGTTTAGAGCAGGGAACTCAGAGTAGAACACATCTTTGACACTCTTGTTAAAATAGTATAGTCTGGTCGGTGTGGCAAACTCAGTTGCTCAGTTGATGCTGAGCATAGGACAAGAAAAGCATTTCTGTAGGCCAAGATTAGGAATAAAACTTTATTTTATATTAGATAAAGGGAAGAGAGTGGGGGGAGAATAGAAAGAGAGAAGAGATCAGAGACTGAGAGAGGGTAAGATGGAAAGGGGGAAGAGAGAGAATAGTGTAGCATCCGGAAAAAAGAGTGCCAGCCCTGAGGTCCTGTGGGTAGCTGAATTCAAGGTGAAAAATACTAAAGTATTAATTGCAGGTGGATTCACAAGGTATTGTGAATGTGAATGCTCTGTTTTTTCTCAGGCAAGATTGAAGACAGACATTTTTCCAGGTGTTTCCACTCTTTTTTTTTTTTTTTTTTTTTGAGACAGAGCCTCAAGCTGTCCCCCTGGGTAGAGTGCCATGGCATCACAGCTCACAGCAACCTCCAACTCCTGGGCTCAAGCGAGCCTCCTGCCTCCGCCTCCCAAGTAGCTGAAGTCTACAGGCACCCACCACAACGCCCGGCTTTTTCTTGTTGTAGTTTGACCAGGGCTGAGTTTGAACCCGCCACTCTCAGTATATGAGGCCAGCGCTCTACCCACTGAGCCTCAGGCACCACCCAAAAGGAACAAATTCTAAAAGACAAAGCTGGGGAATGTAAAGAGAACTTTACATTTCCTTTTGGTCTCTTTGGCTCCTACATGGTTTGAGGAAGAGGCAGGAGAAAGAAGGCAGGCAGAGATTTCAGTTTTTATTGAAAACCTGAGTTAATATTTTTTCTATTTTTTCACTGCAAAGATGACCATCCTTAACAGTTTAAGTCGATTACCTTGTAGTTTCCTTTTCCTTTTTTTGTTGAGACAGAGTCTTACTCTGTCACCCTCAGTAGAGTGCTATGGTGTCATAGCTTACAGCAATCTCAAACTCTTGGGCTCAGGTAATCCTCTTAACTCAGCATCTTGAGTAGCTGGGACTACAGGTGCCTGTCACAATGCCTGGCTAGTTTTTATACTTTTAGTAAAGATGGGATCTGTCTCTTGGTCAGGCTGGTGGTCTGCTGCTGAGCTGAAGCCATCCTCCCTCTGGGAAGGAGCCTCACCTCAACCTCCCAGAGTGCTAGAATTATAGGTATGAGCCACCACACCTGGCCCCCTTATAAAAATCTATTAAAGAGCAGAACTGGGCTCGGCACCCATAGCTTAGTGGTTAGGGTGCTGGCCACATAACACCAGGGCTGGCGGGTAGGCCTGCTAAGCAACAATGACAACTACAACAAAAAACAGCAGGGTGGTGTTGTGGATACCTGTAGTCCCACCTACTTGGGAGGCTGAGGCGAGAGAATCACTTAAACCCAAGAGTTTGAGGTTGCTGTGAACTGTGATGTCATGGCACTCTACTGAGGGTGACATAGTGAGACTGTCTCAAAAAAATAAATAAAAAATGAAGAGCGGAACTGGTACTGGCTCCTAGTTTGCCTCAAGCTCGCCATCATTACCCTGCTTATGTATATGTGAGACTTGCTGGCTGTGCTGTCTGATGCATTTCACTCATAATATGTCTTGAGATTTCTCGAGCGGCAGCTTTCTAGTAGAAATTTTACTGATAAGGGACGTGTTCTGTGTTTGTACTGTCTGATAAGGTAGCCACTAGCTACATTTGACTATTGAGCACTTAAAAGTAGCTAGTACAAGTGATAAATTTTTAATTCAGGTTAATTTTAATTAATTTAAACTTCAGTAGCTTGCATGGCCAGCGGCTATTACGTTGGACGGCACCAGTTCTAGAGGGGCATTATCCATGTTTCCTTAGTCCCTTCCTGTTGTCTGTGGAGGATCAGCAATTTTTAAAAGCTAAGTTTTTAAACTCATTTCACAAAACTTTTTGTTCTCAGTGAAAAGTCTAAGTTGGTGGTGCCCAGAGACATGCCAGAGAGGATCTGTTCAGATCGGGTTTATTGAAAGGGGTGGGTGGCCCACCTGGGCAGTGCAAAAGCATTGTCTGCAGCCTAGGGGCAGTTAGAGACCCTTTTATATTGGGCTGTTGGTGGTGGGCAGATTTCACAGTTTGCCTTGGAAGGTTAGGTTTCTTTGGTGCGAACTTCTGGGAGTGGGGCTGACCAGATCCTTTGCTTCTTTGTCTTAGGAGGAAAGGAGAAGGAGGAGGGGAACATTTCACGTGAGGCTGCCTTAGACCCCCTGACACTCAGGATTCAGTTTCCATGCATTTTATAAAGTTCACTCACTATAAAAATAACTCCCCCAAAACAAACTGTGAACCAATTGACTGTTGTTTAGACAGTTTATAAAATAAGCTACTGGTATACTTTCTAATTTTAACTTGTCATAATATCCTGAAACTTTGAGCAGGCACATAACCAGTTGATTGCTACTTTTTCTGGAATACTTAAAATTGTTGCCTTTGGAAGTAGACAGCTGGTTAAGGCACTGAGATGTCCCAGGAGAGCAGCATAAGGTCACCGTCACTGCTGAGAGACTCGTTTTACCCAGCCCTGCAGAGAGAGCACAGGCTGCGCTAGTGTTGCTGCCAGCCCTTACCAGAATCTGCTGTTTTACCTAAGAACCAAAGTGTGGAAAAGGAATTCTCATAACTGTGACAAGAGTGCAGTTATTTTTAGAAAAACACATTAGCAGCCAGCAAGCCTCCCTCTCCATACTCCTGGTGTATTTCAAGGCCAGAGTTCTTGGAAATACTATTCCCATATCCTGGCTGATAGTAGTGATACACCCATAACCCTGACCCGAACTAGAGATGAGCCCTGTGAGGTACCCATTCTGGGCACTTCCCCATTCCAGCTATACTGATAAGGCTAACAAAAGCCTTTTGCAACTGTATGAGAGCAGAGCTGACTCCTGGTCACTCTCCATTCTCCCTTACCGCTTTGTTAAAGTCTTTCCTTGCTGCTGGACTGGCCACCTCTCCTTTCTTTCAGACCCTCACCCCACTTGTATCCAGAAACTCTCTTACTGGATAAGCAAAAGCCAGAAAGACAAGACTAAGCATCTTTGTTTAGGGAACAAAGTAGAACTCTGGCAGCCAACAGTACAGCACTTGATAGGAAAAGAGAGAATGACTTCAAAGTTTATTGATGTGACATGAGTCTTCAGAAATTGATATTTTTAAATGAGGGGGCTTTGGCTCATCTGTTTTCAGCTACTCCATTGGATTTTGCAGGTGGAAGGTCGCTTCTGTATCCTACAGTCGTTTTCCTTTTGGTAAAGATCTTGCATTACAGCAGTTTTATTCCTCTAGAATTCCATTTAGGGTTCATAAATACAAGTTCTTAAAAAAACAGAAATGCTTGACATACGGATTTATTATATTTTATCACACTTTCTCTGTAGCCTGGAAGTGACTGATTTATTGCATATTGCCTTGGAAAATCCAGTCAAATATGTTGAGGACAATATGGAACAAAAGGTACGTCTTCTAATGTAGATGTGTCGTAAATGAGGGACAACAGCTTTTTGTAGGAAGATCTTTTTGAGCTGAATGTAAAAGATAAGTAAAACATGAAAAGTGCTTTGTCACTGACAGGCACCTCACCAGCATTCAGCCGCTGACCCCTGGTTACAGTGTGCACTGCATGAGCAGGATGGGAATGTTCGCACCACGGAAGCTGGCAAACACTACGGATAGGTTTGGGATTTATCTCTCAAGAGCTGGTTATTAGATACTCACCAGCCTATCACCGCCGACATGGAAGCCAGTTTATGACTGGATGTAATCCATTTGGACTCTCTTCACTTAAACCTTGCTTTTGGTCCCTTCACATACGCGCCACCTATATTTTCACCATTTCTTTTCTAACACTGTACATTAGTGTTGCAGTAACAATATCTGTACTACATAGGAAACAGACAGACTCATTTGTTCAACTAACATGCTTCATCAAGTGGATCAGACCCTCCGAAAAGTTGTGTCTCAGACAATGAAGGAAGCAAAAGGTACGTTGTATCAGTTCGTGCTATTTAGCTGGTGTGATAGTGACTTTTGTAGCCACCACTGTCCCCCTGACACTCAGGAAGTTTGTTTTCAATCATAAAAGTTTATATCATGTTTCCAATGTAAATATGCAATTTAGTTAAATAGAAAAATGCCACCTGTGAAACTTAAGTATCCATCTACCTAATAAATTTTTACTGAGTTTTACTCTGTACTGGTCTTACCCTAGATGCTAGGGAATCAGCAGGGAGCAGAATGTTCTAGTGAGAAAGACAAGAAATAGTTGGATGAATATATGGCAGTACTCTGAAGAAACATAAAGCAGGGTGAGGATTTGTGTTTAAAGGGTAATCAGGAAGGCTTCTCAGAGATGGCATTTAAGCAAAGATGTGAATAAAGGGAAGGCCCAAACTGTGCAGTTCTCTGGAGGATCATTCCAGGCAGTAGACACAAAGGCCCAGAAGTAGAGTGGTTTGGAATGTTCTAGAACAAAGAAGAGGCCATTGAGCATGGGGGGAAGGAAAGCGGCAAGGCAGTCCAGCCAGGTTTAAGATCAGCATGGAGTTTGAACAAGGTCAATGTATTCTAAGTCAGATTTCATAATAATAGATGGAATGTGTGGTAAGTATAGTTTTAGAAAATAATTCCTGTCAGTTGGTTTTTGTTGTTGTTTTTTTGTTTGTTTGTTTGTTTTGTTTTTTTATATTTTTTGGCCAGGGCTGGGTTTAAACCTGCCACCCACCTCCAGCATATGGGGCCGGGCGCCCTACTCCTTTAAGCCACAGGTGCCGCCCCCTTTCAGTTTTAAATATTGACTTACTGCTATATTCAAAATTTGATTTTAAAAAAACCAGCTAAGATTTGTTGAGTGCCTTTTATGTGTTAAGTGCATTACATATATTATTTCTAACCTTTACAATCCTGAGAGGTATAGTTTTACAAATGGAGAAATAGAGAAGCGTAAAGGAGATCAAGTAATTTGCCAAAGGCTCCTGAACACGGGGTGTTCCAGCCTGTGCTTTCCATTATCCTCCCATGTACCACCAGCATGTTTATTACCTTCACAGAAGCTCAGAACATTCAAAAGGAAACAAACTAACCCTATTGTGGTTTTTATCCTTTTTAAATTTCTGCCCTTCCTGAAAATACCATTTCCAAATTTTTTTTAGGCCATGACCCCAAATGAGATTTTATATTGTAACCCAGTACCTGAACTTGCACGTGTGGAAGCAAGTTTCACACAACACCCTCACATATTTAATGAACTCTGTGTGCTATAGGATGTCATCGTAGACAAACAGTGGTTGCCACAACAATGGATCACAAAACAAACTTTGAAAAACTGAGGACTGCAACAGAAATGGCAGCATGATTAGAATGCAGACAAAAGTAGTTCCAGGGGTTCTTGCTCAGCCATTTGCTTGTCTTTTGTCTGTCAGTGAAGGGGATGGGGCAGATAGGGTTATGTTCCCAAATCACTCTTCACTCATTTCCCACCCATTAAAAAAAATACAGTGTGTGTGTGTGTGTGTGTGTGTGTGTGTGTGTGTAGGAAGGTAATTCTAGTTTCTATATCTGTACATAAATAAAAATTGAGCTTCACTACCCTAAACGAAGTAAAAAGATAACTCACAAATGGGAGAAAATATTTGAAAATATGAGATGCAAACATGCATCTCATAAGGGACTTGTTTCCAAAATAGACAAAGAACTCTTACCCCTCAATAGTAAACACAAATAACCCAATTTTTAAAATGGGCAAGAGATCTGAATAGACATTTTCCCAAGGAAGATATAAAATGAACAACAACCACTTGAAAACATACTCAACATCATTTGTCATCAAGAAAATACAGGCCTGGTCTGGTGGCTCACGCCTGTATTCCTAGCACTCTGGGAGACCGAGGAGGGCGGATAGCCTGAGGCCACAGGTTCAAGACCAACGTGAGCCAGAGCAAAAGCTCAGTCTCTAAAAGTAGCTGGGTGATGTAGTGGGTGCCTGTAGTCCCAGCTACTTAGGAGGCTAAGGCAAGAGAATAGCTTAAGCCCAAGAACTTGAGGTTGCTGTGAGCTGTGACACCAAGGCACTCTATTGAGAGTGACAAAGTAAGACTCTGTCTCAATAAAAAAAAAAATAACAAATCAAAACCATAATGAGATACCACTTCATACCCACTAGGATGCCTGCAATTAAAAAATCCAAGTGCTGGGGCCTTGGCCTTGGGCAGTGGCTCACACCTATAGTCCTAGCACTCTGGGAGGCCAAACTGGGAGGATCCTTTGAGCTCAAGAGTTTAAGACCAGCCCAATCTAGAGGGAGACCCCTGTCTCTACTAAAAACATAAAAATTGGCTCGGCACCTATAGCTCAACCGGCTAAGGCGCCAGCCACGTACACCTAAGGTGGCAGGTTCGAATCCCCAGCCCGGACCTGCCAAACAACAATGACGGCTGCAACCAAAAAATAGCCAGGCGTTGTGGCGGGCGCCTGTGGTCCCAGCTACTTGGGAGGCAGAGGCAGGAGACTCGCTTGAGCCCAGGAGTTGGAGGTTGCTGTGAGCTGTAATGCCATAGCACTCTACCCAGGGGGACAGCTTGAGGCTCTGTCTCAAAAAAAAAAAAAAAAAAAACATAAAAATTAGCTGGGGGTTATGACAGGCCCCTATAGTCCCAGTTACTCAGGAGGCTGAGAGACAAGAGGATCACTTGAGCCCAGGAGGTTGAGGTTGCTGTGATCTATGATGATGCCATGGCACTGTACCCTGGGCACAGAGTAAGACTGTCTCAAAATTTTAAAAAAGTCCAAGTGTTTGAGAATGTGGAGAAATGGGAACCTTCACATTTCTGGTGAGAACATAAAATGGTACAGCTGCTCCGGAAAACATGCAGTTTCTCAAATATAGTTACCATGTGACCCATTCCATTCCTAGGTATATGCCCAAGAGAGATGAAAACATGCTTACACAAAAACCTGCACTCAGAAGTTTATAGCAGCATTATTCACAGTAGCCAAAAGATGGAAACAAGCCAGATGTCCATCAGCTGACAAATGGATCAACAAAATTTGGTGTGGCCATACAATGGAATATCACCACTCAGCCATGAAAAGGGATGAATTACTGATAGATGCTATGGAACATAGAATAACCTTGAAGACATGGTGCAAAGTGAAGGAAGTCAGTTACAAAAGTCATATGAAATGTCCACAGAAATCTTGAGACAGGAAGATTGGCGGTGGAGAGAGGGATAGAGTGGGTAGAAAGATGAGAGCTCTAGGATATGGGTTTGCTTTTGAGATGATGGAATTAACTGTAGTGATGGTTGCAAATATCTGTGAATATCCTAAAAACCATCATCTTGTACAGTTTAAAGGGGTGAGTTATATGGAATGTAAACTATATTTCAGTAAAGCTTTCAAAAATTAAAATTCAGGCCCGGCATGATGGTTCACAACTGTAATCCTAGCACTCTTGGAGGCCAAGGCAGATAGACTGCTTGAGCTCAGGAGTTGGAGACCAGCCTGAGCAAGAGTGAGACCCCATCTCTACTAAAAAGTAGAAAAAATTAGCTGGGTGTTGTGGTGGGCACCTATAGTCCCAGCCAGAGAATCACTTGAGCCCCGGAATTTGAGATTACTGTGAGCTGTGATGCCACAGCAATCTAGCAAGACTTTTGTCTCAGAAAGAATGAATGAATGAATGAAAATCTGTATCTCAGTAACACTACCCACATGTGGCTCCTGACTTGAATTTAGCAGCTATAGAACCATTACAGAATGATATATTAGACTCCTGCCTAGAATGTTATTTATCAGTTTCAAAACTAAATTGTGTACCACTGAGGTTGATCATGGGGGGGAACAACCCTAAATCATCATTTTTCTATTTCTGCTTTTTTTGCCTTTCTACTTATTAGTTCAATAAGATAGTAAGTTAGCTCTCATGGGCCTTCTTAACAAAAATCCCTTCCAAGTAGCTGAGAATACAGGCGCCTACCACAATGCCTGGCTATTAAAAAGAAAAAAAAAAAATCCCTTTCAAGTTTTTTTCTGCTCATACTTTTCATAGCAACTTTTTTTTTTTTTTTGAGACAATCTCACTCTGTGCCCCGGGTAGAGTGCCATGACGTCATAGCTTACAACCTCAAACTCTTGGGCTCAAGCAATCCTCTTGCCACAGCCTTTCCAGTAGTTGCAACTATAGGCACTTGCCATGACGCCTGGCTAGTTTTTCTATTTTTAGTAGAGGTCAGGTCTAGCTCTTGCTCAGGCTGGTCTCCAACTTCTGAGCCAGGCGATTAACCCACCTCATCCTCTCAGTGCTAGGATTACATGCCTGAGCCACTGCACCTAGCCCATGGCAAGTTCCTTAAATTCTTTTGTTTCAGATGACTTTTGTATATCACAAAAGTGTAACACAAAATTCTTTTGTTTATGTTACACTAACTCGATTGTGATTAATTACAGCATCTGACTAGTTTGTCACAGGGGTGTCCAACCTTTTTTTTTTTTCTTTCATTGGAAGAATAAGAGTTGTCTTGGGCCACGAATTAAGTACACAAACATTAATGAAAGCTGATTAGCAACAAAAGGTCCCTCCATACTCTTAATGATATCCAACATCACAGATAAGCAAAAAAAGAAAAAAGCTTACAAAATCAGTATGCAGCCTGCAGACCACAGGATGGCCACCCCTAGTAAAGTATTATCAAGTCAATTTTCTGACATCATTAGCCCAGATTGCTTTACTTTACACAAATAATCTGAGAATATTTTTTTATTTTAGATGAACAAGTGCCTCCTTACAACTTGAAGTTTCTAGCAGAAGAACTTAATAAGCTCAAAACAGAGTTTCTGGAAGACCTAAGACAAGGAAACAAAAAATATCTGTGCTTTCAACAAATTATTGACATAGCAGATGTCATTTCTTTTTTTAATTATGAGAAAGATAAGATTGTACTGAAGTATTTTTCAAAGCAGCATTAAAATTTCTGAATTTCCAAATACCTGATTTTGGTAACCTTCTGCAAACAAGTTAACAAATTGTTTTTAATAAATGGCTAAAATAATTTTGTATTATTGGCCACTATTGTACATTGCCAAGACCATTCTTTTTCAAAGAAAAAGATCAGTTCATTCTGAAAGGTTCATTTGTCATAAAAGAAGTTACTTGTCATTTAATTAAGCACAGAAGCAGCCTTCTTCACTTATGTGCCAGAAAGCTTACGGTAGACAAGGCTTAGGGGACAAAAGTCAAGTTAAATGGATCTTGAATAAAGAGAAGAAACTAGAAGGGAGACAGGTAGTGGATGTATGAGCCTGTTTTTTTTTTTTGTTTAACTCGTGCAGATCTCAGGAAAGGCATTCTAGAAATTCAAACCACTACAGCCACAAAATCTACTTCTTTTATTAATGTAATATTTTACATAGCAGAATACTACTAAAAAATTAATTTGATCCTAGTTTTGAAAAAAGAAAAATCAAGGTCATTAGAAAGTGTTAATATTTTATTCATATATTACAAAAGCAAAGCTTCATCACAGTATGAACTACATCCTAGATATAGGTATTTAAGCATTAAACCGCTTTCTGGAATCTCTAAACAATATGGTGTATTTTATAACCATAATGCAAGTTTTATGTTTTGCATACAAAATATGTTCTTTTACATCAAAGTACATATTAACAAAAACAAGTTCTAGAAAGCATATACCCTCTAAGACTAATGAAAAAGTCTTTAGCAGGGAATCTTTTAGTAAGACATTCATTTAATATTTTTGTAGAACTTAAGTTTTATTTCTGAGTTTTCTTAGTATTCCCTTTGTCAAACAATTTAGCAGAAGAATGGCAAACACTTATTTCTCAAATGAAATAGCACTGGCAACACCCAATGTAACTTCTTCAAAGTAAAAGTCTAGCCTTTACTTGAATTTCAAGTTGTAGCTACATACGACATTAGTAAAATCTGAAATAAAATTATTCCCTGTTAATCTTTTCACAGTTTCTTAAAAAAATATTAGTGGAGATAAATTATCTACCAACTTTAAAAATCTAAATTTATGTTCACTGAACAAAAATAAATTTAGTTTCAGAACATTGCCTGTTAATGGCAAAGTACTATAAATAGTGCATGTTAAACTTTTCCTAACAACTTATTTCTATAAAATATTTGATTAAAAATAAAATGAGAAACATATTCAATACACAAGGGAAGATATGAACATCTTTCCATGTACAGAATTTAACTCACAGGAAATTTAAATAAAATCCTAAATCTTTTAAAAAATACAATACCAAAAAACTTTCTAAGGTAGATTTGCCTTGAAAATTTTAAGTGCATTTAGAATAAATGTAGCTTTTAAGCATCAACACCTTTGGAATACCAACTGTGCTCTTTTGAGTCATAGGAAAATTAGGATTTTACATTCTAGTTTGTAATTATGGAAAAAAATCTTTTCCATGTTTAAATCAAAGTGTACCTTCAAAATACCGATCTTTAGTTGTTAGAAAAAAATGTATTTGGCCCAGAATATGGAGTAATAAGCTGGTTTTAACAAGAGAATTCACTCCTTTAATGAAATTTTTCATTTTCTATTTTGGGGTATTGCTTTTACCTGGAAAACATAAGGAAAAATAACTGCAAAAGCTTCCAAACAACAACCTGTTTCTTACTGGCAATTGATAAATACTACAGCAAAGTTATACATTCAGAAATTGCTGCAGCAAAACTGAACTGAGTGGTGAGTGATTTAAGCAACAGAGTGAAACAGAACTGTAGAATTTTAGATTCACAAGATTTAACAATGAAGAAAGTTCCAGTATGAAGAAACCGTCCTTGATGCTGTTTTTTAAACAATGCAGTTGAGATTAGCTTAGATCAGATACTAAAGAACTCAGTGGTTTTCCAGCATTTGGGGGAGGGCAGAGGATCCATTAACTTGGCACTTGGGGTTTTTATGGACATATACCATCGATATTTCCCTTTTATTTACTAGTCCGTTGGGGCTAATAGATGCTTAACAGGACATTCTCTTTCTGAAGCCAGGTAAGAGCATACTGAAGATGATGTGAACCAAATTAAAAATTTTTGCAAAGTACACAGAAACCAACAGTTAGTAACAATGTATTTTATTGTTTAACCAAGCTGTCTTCAGAGTAAACTAGTTATTACATAATATAAAAACACTAGCCTCCTATTCAAAATGAATTACTCTAGATTTAGCAAGTCTTTTATAAACAAATATGTTTAAATGCATTTTATATCCATTGTCACACCTTTTTATCCTTTCTTACTAAGGCAATAATTCAGTTTCCATATAGTTTTATCACTATACATGAAGACTACTGAAATTGCAAAGAAGAATGTTTGAATTCACAGGAAAAATTTTAAATGGCCAATTCTGAAAGGAGACCAGAATCCACTGTAAATAAATGTTCTCATTTTTGTAAATATTTCTTCACCATTGTTTCTATACCCACCATTTCTTGGCAATTATGAGCAGTAAATAAATAGAAGACAGAAAAAAGAAATCCTCAGAAAAAAATTTTTGGAAGGACTGCATTTTAATAATAAGATGAATTATTTCCACTATACCTCTTTGGTCTTCAAAGGAATAGGAAGAATAAAATATTCTCACTATTGTTATCAATGTCGTCTGACACTAATAACTTAAGAATGAAAGATTTAAAATGTTTAAGCTGAAAGGAAAAAAAGGCATCTAACACTCTAGTGTATTTACCTGTGGTTTTTGAAAGTAATCCGGAAATAAAGACTATCAATGGAAAGTGGACATGTGTTTAAACTAGAAATTAAATAAATGGGTATTTTAAACATTAAACACACTTTTCAATTTAAAGTCTTAAGTTTTATTTTAGAACTTTCACTTCATATTTTTGTAAGAATTAACTATTTTACATTTCCCCTTGTGGAAAAAAAAATTATTAACTGAAATAGCTATTGTCAGTTGAAACGAAATTACTAATTCAACGTCAGATATGTAAACTAAACAGTATTTCAGGTAAGACGAATTTTTAAGGCAATTCTCTACTAAACACTGAAATAAGTTGTAAGAGAAAATAATTCATTCTACCATTTTGAAATATGGCAGAAATTACATCTAGCTCGATGTATATACTGAAATATTAAGAGTATAGATAAGCCTTAAAGTTTTATCGACCATAAATGTGAGAAATTTAAATGAACACCTGGAAGATTATGATTGCACTCTAATGCTCAAATGTCTAAATGAAAGGAAAGGGATACACATGTCTAAAATTTTAATACATAAATGACCAGATTTTTATGAAAAAAATGGGAAAATTGTTTCCACTGTCAAATTTTTATGTTCTATAAATATGATCTACTACATCAGGGGATGCAGGATTTTGGTTTTCAGGTGTACAAACCTTAAATTAGAGATGGGGAAAAAAAAATCAAACCACAAAATACAAAAAGGCAAAATCAGGTAAAACATCATGTGATTGTTTTCAATCAATGTTGGTTATGTTGCCCTCTTGCAAAATGACAGGCAAAATCATACTTGTTTTTACATTTGCATCCACATATATTACACTGAAAAGGATTTTCATACCCATGACACCCCATATGAATAGTGTACAGGATATTGTCTGCAAAGTACATATCACAGTGTTGGCAGTGGTGCAGAAGCTGAGGGTCCTGGACCGGCAGGGCGGGGGCTGGAGTGCTTGGCTGGCTATTTCCTATACTAGGAGTGCTCGTGTGGGCACTTGGCTCGCTGCTCGGACCTGCCACTGGACTATAGTTCCTTTGACTATGTGATGGCCGAGGTTCGGGGCTTGTGGGAGATGAGGTCTGGGGAATACTTGCTGACACAGCTGAAACTACTGCTTGGGCAGAAGGCTGCTGAATCATGAAAGGCTTTTCATCAGGGCAGGGAACTACATCAGGGGATGCAGGGTTTTGGTTTTCAGGAGGCAAACTGGACAACTGTCCTGCTAGAGTCGAGAGCTGATTCAAAGGGTTGTCAACCATGAGTTCTTGGGGGTCCCTTGGAAGGCCACCAGTTGGTGTGGTTTTCGCCATACTTTCATAGGAGTCAGTCTGGATATTTGGGATCTCATGGGTAAAATCATTAAGGTAGTCTGGTTTCTGAACCACCATGGAAGGTGGACTTAGATTGATTAGTGCTCTTCTGCTATAGCCCAGATTGCTTGTTTTCTTCTGTAAAACCCCCCACATTTTCTTGCTGCTTAAGGAAGACCTAGTGCCTTTAATTGGTACCATTTTATGCTTGCGCCTTCGATGATGGGACAGGTTACTTCGATCACTGCAGCGGAAGGAACATAATTCACATTTGTATGGTTTTTCTCCAGTATGAGAACGCATATGTGCTTCCAGATGACGTTCGTAAGCAGATGCAAATGGACATAGGTGACATCTATGAGGTTTCTCACCTGTTTCAAAAGAAAAATGGGGAGAAACTATAAAAGCAGTTCATGTATGGAAAGTTTCATGTTGGTCTAGTCTTTGGATTTTAAGAAACTGAACAACAGCCAGGCGTTGTGGTGGGCACTTGTACTCCCAGCTACTTGGGAGGCTGAGGCAAGAGAATCGCCTAAGCCCAAGAACTAGAGATTGCTGTGAGCTGTGATGCCACAGCACTCTACGGAGGGTGACAAAATGACACTCAGTCTCTAAAAAAAAAAACCCACAAACTGGAGTAAAGCTTAACTCATCAGCAACAATTTGAGATACGCATTTATATTCTACTAAGCAATATAGTATAAAAAATTGTTAACTATCAGGCGGCGCCTGTCGCTCAAAAAGGTAGGGTGCCAGCCCCATACGCTGGAGGTGGTGGGTTCAAACCCAGCCCTGGCCAAAAAAAAAAAAAATTGTTAAGCATTCATCTGGCATGGGGAAAGAAGAAATAGCACAACTGATGACAATATCCTAGTAATAGTTACTACATAATGATTTTATGAAAAATATCTCTCATAAAAGTGTTATATGTTCATGTACATATCTATACACAGACATTTATATACACACATATATATACTCTTTTCTCAAGGGGAAAAAATATATACAAAAAAGCTTTGTAAAAGTCCTTATACGAGACAGAAAGCTCAAATTCGAAATGAGCTTCCTAGTCCAAGTATAAATTATACAAAGTTTTCCTTCAAAATCACCAAAGCTGCTCCATCTTCCTACTCTCCAGATGCCAGAAGGAACAATTCTAGTTAATGATGTTAACTGACAACTGCCCAAATACATAAAATATTTGAAATCTGAGATGTGGAGTCATTCATCTAACAAGTATGTGCCAAATGCCCTAGTAGGCACTCGGGGTACAAAGATGGTCTCATCATAATCCCTGTCCTCAAATCGCTTTTGGGTCACCACAGTGATACAATGAAAGAGCACAGGAAGCCATGGAAGACACAGGAAGGACACCTGACCTGGTCTGGGGCAGAGGCAGGGTGTAATTAATAAGGCATCTCAGAAGAAGGGATAGCTATGGGGAGACCTAGGATTAGCCATAGAATCTGCAAATCGTATAGAAAACTTTGCCCCATTTTTGCAACTGGAATGTACTAGTTAGGATGAAGACATTTTAGCATCTATAACTGCTTTCAGCATTAACCTCCCCAACCAAAAGAACAGACAGATGGACAGATTATTTGACTAAGAAGAAGACGCTCCACAAGGGGTTTCAATTCTCACCTGTTTGCATGTTGTTACGATGTTGCTTGGTAAAAATGGAATAATTTCTCCATTTATTCAAACTTTACATCAACCTTCACTGTTGAACTATAAGAACTATTTATATAACAGATCCATTTGGCCCCCTTGGCCCCTAACTCTTGCCCCCAAAGAAATGCCTTCTCCAGCCTTCTTCCATTACCTGTGTGGATTCTAATATGTTCAATAAGCCGGGCTGTTCCTTTGCTGGCATAGTTGCAGTACCGACACTTGAGTTTCCCATCAAATGTCCTTTCAAACCCGTCTACTAACATTCCTGAGTTTTCATCCAGAGAAACTTCAACAGATGGATGATCCAGTCCATTTTGATCACCATCTGTTCCAGCTATAAACAAAGTACAGCAAAAGAAATTATGCATCTCAGAATCAACTCAATTTAGCACTTTACTCTTAAGTGGTTGAAAATCTTTCATAAATTGACAGTTCACTTCCCACAAAAGTTAAATTCATTTTATAACAGACTTTCTGAACTGAGGCTAATTTTATACAAAAGCAATAGTACGTTCTGTATTATATTCTTAGAAAGTTTTATAAAGGGATCTCCAGTTATGTACACATAAATTCTATCAGTCTTCAAAGAGACAAGGAAGGAAAACAATTCACTGAAGACTGATGGCACAGTTACACACAGGTGTCTAACACCCTCACTGTTCCTACAGATACAACTCGTGGTCATAATCATCACCAAAACCCTAACTCTGTTTACTTTAATCTAAAGCAATTAATAAGTTTTCCACCATCCCACTCAGTTTAGACATATGTTCTAGAGTCTGGACTGCACTTAAGATCTTAGAATTCTTATTAGGCCACATAAAGAAAAGTATCATCTCTGATATTTCTGAATGTTAGGACTGTAAGAATTTCAGAACTAAAAGATGCTTGTTTGGCAGTTTTTAATCTAACTACTACTTTGTGCAAAAAACCTAAAGGGACAGGTGTTACTCATAATCAGGAAAAGCAGCAAATGGCAGGGATTACAACCCTGGTCTCTTAAATCTAGTCTGGGAATCCGTGCACTAGCATTAGGAGGGAAATTTTTATTCCTCCAACTTCATGGGGAAAGTTCTTATACTCTACCCTGGGGAGTAGCAGTGCTGACATGTGTAACTCAAGGCCTCTGCTCCTCTCTTTCCTCCCCCTCCTCCACCAGGAGAAGACAAGTGATTTTGCTGTGGGACAAGGCTGATACCTAAAGGGCCATAGCACTGGAAGGATGAGGCTCAGTTTCTCCATTTTCTATCACTGATTTCCTAAGCCAGTGACTCTCAAATTTTATTTTATTTATTTAAAACAGAGTTTCACTTTGTCACCCGCAATAGAGTGCTGTGGTGTCACAGCTCACAGCAACCTCAAACTCTTGCACTTAAGCAATTCTCTTGCCTCAGCCTCCTAAGTAGTTAGAACTATAGGTACCTGCCACAATGCCCAGCTATTTTTAGAGATGAGGTCTTGTTCCGCCTCAGGTTGATATCAAATTCGTGAGCTCAGGCAATCCTTGGCCTTCCAGAGTGCTAAGATTACAGGATAAGCCACCATTCCCGGCCCTGACTCTCAGATTTTTGTATCTATATGAATTACTTGGGGATCTTACTAAAACACAGGTTATAACTGACTAGGTCTCAGGTGGGGTCTGGTATTTTGCATTTCAAAGAAGCTCCCAAGGGATGCCTGGTCCCTGCTGCCAGTCCCTAGCTAGACTGGGTCAGGGGTCAGCAAACTTTCTGTTTAGGTTTTGTGGGTCACTATCACAACTACTAGACTCCACTGTTTTAGCACAAAAGTACCTATAGAAAATATATAGGCTGCATGTGATGGCTCACATCTGTAATCCTAGTACACTGGGAGGGTTAAGTGGAAGGATCACTTGAGGTCAGGAGTTCAAGACCAGCCTGAGCAAAAGGGAAACTCCATCTTTACAAAAAACAGAAAAAATTGGTTGGGCATGGTGACAGGCACCTGTAATCCCAGCTACTCCAGAAGATGAGACAGGACGATTGTCTGAACCTAGGAGTGTGAGGCTGCAAGGTAGCAGTGAGCTGTGATCATATCGCTGCACTCTAACCTGGGCAACAAAGCAAGACTACACCTAAAACTAGAAAGCAAAGGAACCAATGAGCATGTCGGCACGTCTATACACTGAAGTCTGAACTGCACAGAACTTTCATGTGTCATGATGTAATTCTCTTTTTGAAACCATTTTTAAATGTAAAATTTTTTTTTTTTTTTTTTTTTTTTTGCAGTTTTTGGCTGGGGTTGGGTTTGAACCCACCACCTCTGGCATATGGGGCCAGCGCCTTACTCCTTTGAACCACAGGTACTGCCCAAATGTAAAAATTGTGAGCTTACAGGCCACATAAACACTGCAGTAGTTTAGATGGGACCCACAGGCTAGTTTGCTGACCCTTCAGCTAGGCTAGGAATAAATTCTAGTTTTTGTGTTGTAAGCAAACTAGACAAAATATACCTCTAGCAGGCTCAAGTAGGTCACTGCTTTCTCTATTCTAGTTGTCTTCTTGTTTTGTTTTCCTTTTTTTTTTTTTCTTTGAGACAAGAGTCTCTGTCTGACACCTGGCAAGAGTGCCATGGTATCATAGCTCACAGCAACCTCCAACTCCTGGGCTCAAGTGATCCTATTGTCTCAGCCTCCTGAGTAGCTGAGACTACAAGCACTCACCACAAGGTCTGGCTAGTTTTTAGAGATGGGGTCTTGCTCTTGCTTAGGCTGGTCTCAAACTCCAAATCTCCAGCAATCCACCCGTCGTGACCTACTAGGTGCTATGATTACAGTTGTGAGCCACGGCACCCAGCCCTAGTTTGTTTTCTTCGATGGGCAAATATGGTTAGCCCTGTCTTCATTTTAACAGGGAAGAAACCACAACCCCTACTTTGGTCTCATGCCTAATCCAGATTTCCTGGTGGCCAAACTGTCTCTATGGAGAAGCTAATGTTTTGATCCCCTTTAAGTGTCACATGCCTATTGTTAGCTCATAGAACCTATAGGACCCAGGAAGGCTATTTACAGTCTATAACCTTCCAATAAGACCACGGTGCTTGTCTACACCACATTAAGCACTATCCCTTAGCAGAAGTCTGATTATCTTTAAAGAAGGAAAATAATGCCCCATTATCTTTCTAGGAAAAAAACCAGAATGATTCACTCTAGTCAGCAGTGTTTTCATAATATGGGTAACTACACATAAGCATTAATATATTTATAAAAACTGGATAATTTAATAGTATTAAAATGAGTCTACCTCCCTGAAGAGCCTCTGCTTCTTTGTCCCCACTAACTGATCCAGAAATCATGTTCACATGATGGGTCTGCTGAGTCAGGTATTCCTGAAAATCTTTCACGAAGTCCAAAGGCTCTGGTTTCTTTTCACCCATCTTTGCTTTTTTAAAGTTTACAGTTCGTTATACCTAGAGGAAAAAAAAACTGGAACAATTTTAAACTATTTGGGGAGATCCAAAACATAGTAAATATTACAAGAGACAAAAACATTTTGTGTAAGACACTGTAAAAGAACAGAAAACACAGTGTCTGCCTGTAAATACTATATAATCTTTCTGGTGAACTAGAGAAGACATACATAAAATGGGGGGGGGGATCAGTATATTTAATTTAAACTGAGATTCAAACTTAATCATTAGAGGATAGAAACTACAAAGACAGAAAAAAAGAGAAAAGAAGTTCAAATAAAAGAAATGGGCACATGAGCAGAGAGAGTCAAGAAAGAACCAGCTGCTCAATCAGGGCTACCTGAGAAGAGTTTTCTAGATGATGGACAAGTTGCATATCTATGCTGTCCAATACAGCTGCGACAAGCCACAGGTAGCCACTGAGCACTCGAAATATGCCTAATACAAATAACCTGAGTATTTTAGAAACAGGCATCTGTAGTCATCAGAGGATCTTAATTAGAGCATAGTGTTCACATGCAGGAGTCGTCTCAAAATATGTGGTCTAGAACAGTGGGTGGGAAAATTTAGTGAAGGGCTAGATAATATTTTAGGCCTTGTAGGCCATCCCATTCCTGCTGCAATTACTTAGCTCTGTCACTATAACTACAGGCAGCCATAGACAATATGTAAACAAATGGGTGGGGCTGTATTTCAGTAAACCTTTACAAGAACAGACTAAAGCTCCTCTGGTAGATGTGCATGGCCCATGCACGGCCCTGTCACAGCTGCCCGCTCTGTGAACGCTGTCCCTTCCCTTGGTTCCTAGGATCCCTTACTGCCCATTACCTACCGTCAGGGGCCATGGGTGGGCCCAGAGGGGAGGGTGTAGTGGCCTTGGAGGCCCACTGGCCTCTGTGTACCCTAGCCATACTACTTATGTAATGCACATCCTTATTTCTCCTTTAAAAACGTGGGCAAAAAAAGTATACATTATACACAGCAAAATACAGTATAAGGAAGTGCAACAAAATATAAGAGAAAATTGAAACCCAATACAAAGAAACCATAAAAACAACAAATGATGAAAAATTGACTGAAGAAAACAGAATATTTTTAAAAAATCAAACAGAACTTTCTGGAAATAAAAAATTCATTCAAGGAAATAAAAAAAAAAACAGTGATACAAGCTGTATCAAGCAGAAGAATCTCAGAGCTTGAAGACAACACCTTTGAATTAACCATGCCAGTCAAAGACAAAGGACAGAAAAATAAGAGGAACAAAGCCTCCAGGAAATACAGCATAACGTAAGAATCACAGGCATTCTTGATAAGGGTGAAAAAAATATACAATAAGTGTTGGAAAACCTATGTGAGGGAATAAGGAAGGAAAAATTCCCTGGTCTAGCAAGAAATTTAGATATCCAGGTACACGTACAAGAAGCTCAGAAGACTCCTGGGAGATTCATCACAATGAGACAATCACCATTAACACACAGTCATCAAACTGGCCAGAGTTAACACAAAGGAGGAACTCCTATGAGCTGTAAGACAAAAATATTAGCTAACTTATAAAGGAAAACCCATCAGACTAACTGCAGACTTCTCAACTGAGACTTTCAATCCAGAAGAGATCATTTGAGAAGACTAAGAATCTTCTCAAACAGAATAATGGTCAACCTAGAATCTTGTATCCTGTAAGACTAAGTTTCTTATGTGAGGGAGAAATAAAGATTTTCTCAGACAAGCAAACACTAATGGAATTTGCCAAGATCAGACCTGCCCTGCAGGAAGTACTCAGATCTGCACTATACACAGATGAACATAGTGTAAAATCACCCAAAAGCTAAAGCTCAGAGCACAGATACATGTACCATAATGTCTCAAGAAGTAAAAGCAGTAAGGTTCTACTCAACAGGATAAACAGAAATCCATCCACTTACCAATTCTTTCAGTAAATGTGAATGGCTTCAATTCCCCATTCAAGAGACACAGTCAGGCTGAGTAGATAAAAAGAATACAAATTAAGTATCTGAAGATTTCAAGGAACATACCTAACCCACAAGGACTAATTCAGACTCAATGTGAAGGGACTATTGTGAAAACAATATCCCATGCAAATGCAAACCAAAAGAAAGTTGGTGTGTTGGCTAGGCACCTATAACTCAGCAGCTAGGGATGCAGCCACATACACGGGAGCTGGTGGATTCAAAACCAGCTGGGGCCTGCCAAACAACAATGACAACTACAATCAAAAAATAGCAGGGCATTGTGGTGGGTGCCTGTAGTCCCAGCTACTTGAGAGGCTGAGGCAAGAAAATGGCTTAAGCCCAAGAGTTGGAGGTTGCTGTGAGCTGTGATGCCACAGCACTCCACCAAGGGCGACACAATGAGACTGTCTAAAAAAAAAAAAGAAAGAAAGCTGGTGTAGCCATTCTCTTATCAGATAACACAGACTTCAAATCAACAGTAGTTAATAAAGACAAAGATGGTCATCGTATACATAATGGTAAAGGGAGCAATTCAGTAAGACATAACAATCCTAAATATTTATGGGTCTAACACTGATGTGCCGAGATTCACAAGGAAAACCCTACTAGATATAAACAAAATGATAAACAGTAGCACTGTACTAGCCTGGATGTCAACACCCCACTGAGGGGCCCTCCAAGCAGAAAATAAACACTGGGCTTAAGTGGAGCTCTGGACCAAATGGGCCTAACAGACATTTACAGAACATTCAGCCCCAAAATACTGAATATATGTAGTTCTTCTCATCAGCACATGGAACATTTTCTGTATTTTCTCAGACCAGAGTAGAATAAAATTAGAAAGCAATTTCAAGAGAAATAACTCTACACAAAGTCTTGGCAATTAAACAACATGCTGCTCAATGATTACTGGGTTAAGGAGGAAATTAAGATGGAAATCAAATGATTCCTTCAAGTAAAAGACAAAGGGGACACACAAGTTATCAAAATCTGTGGGATTAGGCAAGAGAATGACTTAAGCCCAAGAGTTTGAGGTTGCTGTGAACTGTGATGCCAGTACTCTACAAGGGTGACATAGTGAGACTCTGTCTCAAAAAAAAAAAAAGACAGAAAGATCACAAACTACCAATTTAACGAATCATCTCCAGGAATTAGAAAAAAGCAATCCAATCCCAAACCTACCAGAAGAAAGAAAGAACTAAAGTTAGAGCATAACTAAATAAAACTGATAACAAAAAAGTCACACAAAGATTAATGAAACAAAAAGATGGTTCTTTGGAAAGAATAAAAGAAATTAACAGACCTTTCACTAGATTACCCAGAAAGAAAAAAGGACCCTAATAAACTTAATTGGAAATGGATAAGGAGATACTGTAACTGATACCACAGAAATCCAAAATATAATCTCTAAAAAAATCTCCATGTACATAAACTTGAAAACATTAAGGACATGGACAAATTTTTGGAAACACACACCTCCTAAGCTCTTTCAGGAGCTCCTGACCAGACCAATGGCAAGTAATGACAGTGAAACAGCAATAAAAAATCTTCCGATAAAAAGAAATCCCAGACCAGATGATTTCAAAGCCAAATTTTACCTAATCTACAAAGAAGAGTTGGTACCCATACTACATTCATGATTTCACAACATTACAAAGGAATCCTCCCCATCTCATTCCGCAAAGGTATGGTATCACACTGATACTAAAGCCAGGGAAGGACACAACAAAAGAAGAAAACTACATACTAATATCTCTTATGAATACAGATGTAAAAATTTCCAATAAAATTCTAACAACCCAAATTCAGCAGCACATCAAAAAAATAATCCACCATGAGCAATTGGACTCCATCCCAGGGATGGCTGAACATAAGCAAATCCATAAATGTGATTTACCATGTAAGCGGAAGCAAAAACAAAGACCATATGATCATCTCAATAGCCACAGAAAAAGCATTCAGCAAAATGCATCATCCTTTTATAACAAGAACTCTTAATAAAACAGAGATGGAAGATACCTCAAAATTATTCAAGCCATATTCAACAAACCTACAGCCAACATCATACTGAAGAGGGAAAAATTGAAAGCTTTCCCACTTAGAACTAGAAAACGAGGTTTCCTACTGTCACCTACTGTCCTTCAATGTAGTGCTGGAAGTCCTAGCCAGAGCAATCAGATGAGAGAAGGAAATCAAGGGTATCAAAATGGGGAAAGAAAAGATCAAACTATTGCTCTCTGCTGATGATATGATCTTCTATCTAGAAAACTCCCAAGATTCTCCGGGAATTGATAAATAAATTCAGCAAAGTGTCATGTTACAAAATCAATGTACACAAATCAGTAGCATTTCTATACACCAACAAAAGTCAAGCTGAGAATCAAATCAAAGATTCAATACCTTCCACAATAGCAACAAAGAAAATAAAATACCTAGGAATATATTTTAAAAGGAGGTGAAAGACCTCTACAAGGAGAACTAGGAATCACTGAGGAAGGACATCACAGAGGATGCAAACAAGGAAAAAACATATCATACTCATAGATCAGCAGAATCAACATTGTTAACTCTTTCTGACCCCTATGTCGGACCTCTTGCAACATAATGATTTTCCTGTTCCACTTTAATGTCTGAAGACATCCAACATGATTTTTGTTGCATTTTTTAGCCCACTCTGCTGTCGGAGCCTGTCTGATGTGTTTTCCTCTAGCCAACAGACAGCACAAGTTATATTGTGTTTCTCAGCAAGCCAATGTTTTGATGTGAACAGGTGATTGTGTGTTATATTCATGCAGTTGTGTTTGTAGGAAAATGGCCTGCCCAAAATAAATTAAGAACTGGGGAGTATGTGAGTAGCAGAAAAATGAGATTGGAAAGTGATAAAATACTTATACTACCCAAAGTGATTTACAGATTCAATGCCAACATCAGTTTTTATAGATCTAGAAAAAATAATTCTGTACTTCAAATGGAACCAGAAAAGAGCACAAATAGCCAAATCAACCTCAAACAAAAAGGACTGAGAGACAT